CCAACCACATCATTATCAGGTTGCAATATTTGTTTTAAAATAGAAACATTATTCAAATCATGATCACTAAAGTGTTGACAAATGAAACTCTCATGAGGCCTACCTCTCTTATAATGATTTTTTTGGCTGGTAGTGGTCAATAAATTATTTGGTAATGGCAAAATGGATGATAAGGTTTCAGAATCGGTTGTTGGATATCCTTCATATTCTTCATAAACTTGAGTTGGCTCATCTTCTAATGTTAATCAATTGAACCATTCATATTTGAAAGTTGAGAAACTCAAGAATGAGAAAGAGTTATTTTATAAATGAAAATGTTTCTATGAGAAAGAAATCGTTTTCTATAAGAGAGAGTAGATGAAAACATTTTCTATAAGAGTAAATGAAAATGTTTCTGAAAAAATATTTAAATTGTTGTAGCATTATAAGTTATTTTTTTATTAGATAATATAAATAGTTAGTACTATTTGTTATCAATAGATAATCATTTGTAAGTATCCAAAAATAATTACGAGTATCCATAATAATTACAAGTATCCAAAATTATTATGAGTATTCAAAATTGTTATGAGTATTCAAAATTGTTACGAGTATTCAAAATAATTACGAGTATCCATAATAATTACGAAATAAATTATATATATTTGAATATCCTTGAATAAATTGATTTTTGAATAGGTACTTTGATTGTATACCTTAGATGAAGTAAATCTGCAAGATATTTAATATTTTCATCTATTGGTTCTTGAGAAGGTGTAACAGTGCTGAAGAGCAGTAAGTTAATTAATTGTTAGATGTTCATAAAAAATTTGATTTTCGGTTAGGAACACTAGTAAAAAACCGATCTGTAAAAAAAAATTTTTTATGTATCTTCTATAGCATTATAATACCACATTCCAGCCAATTTTTTTGATTGTGAGGCTTAAGAAACGTGGTGCTGAATTGACAATCCGTATTTTGGCTTTGTACATCACATTCGATCATCAGGAAACTTTTCCCGCCATAATATTACATCTGTAAGTTTTAATATGAAATGTCGTAATATTACGCATAAAAAGTACATAATATTTACACTGAATGTAATAATTGTGTAATTTTTGCATAATATTACACTATTTATGTAAGTTTATGGCAGGCCCCGTAATATTACACAAATTTGCGTCAGAAAAAATTTCCTGATGGATTGTGAGTATACATGCAGCCCAAATTGGTTTGGTGAGTTTGATGGTCAAAATTATTCCAATTTTGATGGTAGAAAGTAGAAATTAATTACGGCATTCACTATTAAAAACATAAGTGTAACACCCCTTTACTACATGTGTAACCCCCTTTATGACAGTGTCAAAATACTTTGGGCTGCATGTATAATTGCGAGGGCGAAATACGATGTGCCGAATTACCATCTATTTGGTGACCCATAAAAGCAAAATATCTCTTTCTCTTTCCGTATATAATTTTACCTTTGGGGCCACCATATCAAAAAAAATTTCATACTTTTGGTTCATTAATTTTTCTCAACTTTTGGGCCACCACACCGAAAATTTCTCTTGCATTTGGGGGTTATCATATCAAAAAATCTATCATGCATTTTGGAACATCATATCAAGAAATTAATTGCGCTACCACTATATCAAAAAGTATATCTCATTTTTGCATATTACTGAAGTTATTGCTAAAAAACTTATTTGCATCATCACCTGATACTACCGGGTTAATTTTTATTTAAAGTTTTGAGTTTTCTATGTAAATTACACTTCTTTACTCCACACACCTATCTAGATACAAAGTGTCTATAACATGCATTCATTAGTCAAGTTTCAGGATTTAACTCACTTTGATTACAAGCCTAGTAATAAAAGTCATTGTTATTAAATAACAGCATAGTGGACATTCGTTTTATCACATGTGACAAAATCGATCATCGATCTTTTTTATATTGTGAAACTTGCTATTT